GGGGGAAGCCACAGATGGGAAGGGTCAGCAGTGGGACCAAGAATCTGGACAGGGAAGCCGACAGGAGTGGCCGAGGGCAGTGGTCGCCAACCTTCCAGACCTCACAGACCACCAGTGGTCCGCTGCTCCAAAGGTTTCTTTAAACCAGAGGTTGCCAACCTTTTGGACCTCACAGACCACCAGTGGTCCGCGGACCACTGGTTGGCGACTGCTGCATTAGACCTTATGTTGTGCCTTTCATGTGAAAAATTCAAGAGTAGAGCTCAGTAAAACCACCAGTGAAGACAAGTTAAATCCACAAAAAGTGAGAAGTTAAAAGACGGTTTGACTGGGTTACCTGGTCCACCAGAGGCATCATCAGGGCTTCTGCTCTCTCCTTACTTAGAAAGTGCTGGGTGTCAAACAGGAAGATTTTATGTAAACAGTTCAGGATAAACTGTAAGAGCAAGCAGCACTTTTCAGGGTCATTTTCAGAGTCAAAAAACGCTTCATCTGTAAGAGGGGGAAGAGTAAAAATGAAAACAATGTCACAATTTAATCTCCAATGTTTACATTCAAATCACTATTGACAGAACTACAATCAAGAGGGCATTTCCTCCATCTAGAAAGCAAGCTCAGGATGAGGGTGGACCGTGGGTGGGCTCTCGGGTAAGTGATTCCTCCTGTCAGTTAACTCATGACCCTTTTCATGATGTGAAAGCAGACACTTCAGGGCCTGACCACCGACTACAGCACGAAACACCCACCCTTTAGACTTACTGTACTTCCCGAGCTTGTGCAAGGCACACAGAGCAAGGCGTCAACGCGCTGGAGTCCGCTACCAACCTGTTTTGGAGATGTTCACCTGGTTCAAGGTGTCAGCAAAAGGCTTCACCAAGTGGCCGGCGAACAGAGTAAAGAGCCCTTTCAGTTTTGCGGCAATGCAATCCGCCAAGTTGTAAAACGTCAACAGTCTATCCTTTGGGGCGTCCTCTGTCTTGGCCCAATCAAACAGCTAAAAAGAGAGAAGTAGGAGTTTATTCTACACATCTCGTTACCGAGAGGAGCACAAAGCAGACAGGGCGGACGCAAAGCTCACCTTGAAAAACAGAGGTCTGAATGTGACTTCGGAAAGTTTGACAACCATAGCTACCAGGCAGTCGATGATATGGTTTTCTGTTTTTCCAACTTCTTCCAGATCATTCTGAAAACACAAGAGCTGTTTTATTAGGCAGAGTTCTGACCTCCAGCTTTACATACGTCTGGCCAGTAGAACAGCTCACAGCCGGCTTTGGGCTGGCTCCCAGCAGGTGCGTTCAGGATTGGGGGGGTGGCTCTAAGCTGACCTCAGGGTGCCGTGCTCGGAAGTCCAGGGCCTCCAGGAAAAACGTGGTGAGCTGAGACTGATGGGAGGTGAGCTCTTCCTTCTTCATGACCCCGATGTGCTCTTGCAAGATGCTCATAAACGGGCCCATGTGGTTCTGCCAAGAACACAGCAGAGAGAGGGGCCGTTCTTCACACTCCAAGTTCATCATGAAGGGGAACCTGTCAGCACCGCACCTCCCCGCCCCAAAGTCCAACCCCCGACAGATCTCACCCTCCAGTCCTTCTGGGTGTGCTTGTAGGTTTTGTTGATGGCCGGCAGCAGGACGCGGGGGGACAGAGTGGTGGCCAGTGTCTTTTTCAGAGACGCGAGACGGACATTCGCCTGGGAGGCTGCACCCATTTCACTCGTGATTTTCTCCAAATGAATCACCTACGGAAACAAAGACAGCGATCGAGGCCTCTGTGGCCTCAGTGAGCGCCTCT